TACCTCGAGTTCCATCATAGCCATGTATTTGTGCAGAGGAACGTCATACTGGCGGATACTATGCATTAATTTTTTCTCCTGATAGTGCAAATCAAGAAAGTAAGCTAAATAACAAAAGATGACAATACCTGAATTGATTTAATTTATTTATTTTTACCTGAAGTTCTTGTGATATAACAGCCTGAGGCAAAAGACCGCGCAAGTAATGTGCTTCTCTCTCTTTCTCCGTAAATGCTAGCCCCTTGTTGTGATGTGTATCTCTCAGCAAACTATACCCACTGTTGTACGAAATTGAATGAAATATAAAGATCAACTTCAACAATGTTGATGATTTACGAATCACTGACACCTATATGTTAATATCTATCGTAAATTATAATTTCATTAAAACTCAGATCCATGAAGATCAGATCACTTCAGTAGAAATCCAACTATCTCAAGATTTTAGCCATTTAACGAAGTTAACGTGATTATCAAAATCAAGCTGGATTGGATGGTATTAAAGAAGTTAAAATCCGAGTATGCCAAACATGTCCAGAATATTCATGAATGATCGAGAAAAATAAGCATAATCAAAACAGAAGAAAGTGCTGAAGTTTCATGGCTTTCTAAGAAAAAATAACATGAAGAGAGAGAGAGAGAAAATCAAGAAAAGGATTACAGTACCTAGCAACGGAAATAGTCCAAGGAGTAACGAGCTGATCCTCGGTGGCACGATCTTCGCCGTAGACATCCTCTACTCCCCCTCCGACCGTCGATCTTGGGCTCAGGTCCAGAACCGATTCTCCTCCTCTCTGCTCCTTCAATGTACTCTCCATCTGTTGGAAACAGGCTTATTTATGAGCAGTAAAGATGGTTGTTGGTGAGCGTAGTTTAAATCACAAATTTATGAAATGGAAATATAGTACAAAATCACAAAGCCAAATAAGAAATTAAAATAAGGAGGAGTAGAAATGAAGATCAAATCCAAGGCAAGTGATAGCACTTTCTCCTTAAGACAATATTGCCCCGCTACAGTGTTCACGGTTGACGGCACTTGTCTTCCAAGATACAACGGATTTTTAATCTTGTGGTAGTAGCACTTCACACCACAAGAACCGGCGAACCGACAAAATTTCCTCTCTACAAAGGAATTTTATGCAAGAAAGAGGAGAGATTTTGCAAAAGAAGAAAAGTGCTCAATGCAAAATATGATATAGTATTTTTTAAAGGACGTCCAAATGGTTCTATTTATAGAGGAAGAAGGGGTGCAAGTGAAGTGGTGTGCGCCAAACCAAGCATTCTTTCGAATAGAAGCAACACTTCACTTTTGCTAGCTTTCCGAAATCACAATTTTATTTTATTTTTCATTTACTTCCTCCAACTTTTGGACTGCAATTTCTCATTCACTTGAAATTGATTTCTAATGTTCAAATATACTCCGAACATCTACTCGACGAGTAGAACAAGTTTGCCTATTTACTTTGGTAATTTGACCATTGGATCAAGTCCAAATATTTGGCCGAAGTTGACCGTTAGTCACACTTTCCGATTTCAATTTTTTTTACTTAACCAATTTTTTTTAACTTGGAAACCAATTTCCAACACCATCTCCCTTCTCTCACACACACTCACACTTTCTGTGCGTTCTTCTGAGGTATGATTATTCTTTTCTTGAGACAAGTTTACGAGTCAATTGCCACATATGGCAGGCTAAATGCTTACATATGAAACAAAGACACAAATGTGTACAGCGTAGTTAGACTGGAGTACAATAAAACGACTAATGCTGTTTGAACAACCTCAGTGACGGGACGTGGTTTAAGGGGTTGAAATGATTGGCAGTTTCTGTCTGTTTTCGTTTTAACAGCCAATAAAAATGAGAGAAGTGTTCATCTGTTCAAATTCCTCTGGTCTCTTTGTTTTGTATTTTGACAACTAAGAAACGACTTTGTTAGTCTTATGAATTTGTCTTCCTCAATCCTCTCCTTAATGAGCCGATATGATTGACCAAACTCGTAAATTTCAACCTGGTCACTGAACTTCATCACCTTACCATATTATGTCACATGAACTTCACCACCCTGTCAAATTTCGTCACACATATCGTCTTTGAAGCTGACGGAATTATTTAGTTGACGATCATATCATGGTTGATCTTTCACATAATCTAAGAAAGGCAACGGAGTGAATCAGAATCGGATGGTGCTATGCACACAACATCGTTCACAGCCCCGACCTCAACGTGAGGCCCCCTCATGTGAGGAGGCTATACCTTATACAGTACAAGGAGAAAAATCCATCAAAATCGGGGTAATTATTTCCATTCATTGTGCCCATTCGGGCTTTCTTCCTATCCCGCTTATCATCCCATTTATTTTTTATTTGCTTATTTTATTTTTTTTCATGTCTTTAGTTTGTGATATTATTACTATTATTATTATTTACAAGTTTGTAGAATAATTCATGTTCTCTTTTTAAAAAATGATGATTATTTTCTTTTTGTGTAATCATAAATTTATATCTTGAATTTTAAATGTGACCGAAATCATGTGATCGCCTAAGCCCCACGAGTATCGGATTTATAGAAATATTAATTATCTCTAACACAATTGTTGTGAGACACATTTGAAATGAAATTGATAAAATGAGAGTTATGACAATTTCTTTATATTAAAATGCTAAAACAATGTACTTTTATTTAATATTTTTATGACTTGACGTGGTAATAAATTATTATCGACGAAACAATTACATGTAAGATCAATTTGGGAGACGACAAGTAACTGAGCACAGAAATTTGAAGCAAAACAAATTGAAATTTAGTGACTCAAACGAAATAAATTAAAGTTTAATGACTCAATTGAGCTTTCATTGAAAGCTCAGTGACCGGAAATGAACTATACCCCCTACCATGTTAGCGTATCTATACAGTATCGTTGTGAGATGATTGACATATATTAATTTTTCAAAAATATTAATTGTTAACTATATTAAATTAATTCATATTCTTGTGGTATTGTTATATCTTTTTTTATTTCAAAATTATATATATCAATATATTGGGCTCCATTAAAATCAAATTTTGAGGAAAAATATATTTTGAAATAGTAATTTTTTGAAAAATGTATAGTTAAAAATGAAGAAAAAAATTTGTATTTAAATATAATATTATTTTATTAGTGAATATGTGGTTGAAATAGAAAAGAATGCATTTTGAATAAAATGGAGCCCAAATAGGTTTATAGTATTTTTACGAAATTATTATAGATATTTAGACCTGGTTTGGTGGATATTAAAATCAAATTTTTAATAAATTTTGATAAAAGTAGATAAAATATATGATAGAAAAATTATGAATCTCATGAAATATATAATTAAATTATTTATGAATTTTGATTTAGATTAAAATCTAAATTTTAATCGTATCAAACAGGAGCTTATTTCATTCCATATTTTGTCTCAATTAACAAACGGATCACAGTTCGTACCGAAGATATATGAAAGAATGTCATTTAATTGTTAAAAAAATAAATATAAGCAAAGAAAAGAGGGAAAAGTTGATACCTTTCACATCTTACTCGTTGGAAAACAAGAAAAAGGCATGTTTTTTTAATGTAAATATGATTATTTTACCATGAAGAACATTATTTAAAGACCTAAATTAGTCATTAATCATGGTCCATATATTTTGAAATACGTGTTCGTATATTATGGAGGATTGCTGTGAGGGACACTTTATTAATTAAATAATTTTGATTAGTTAGGTGGATTATTTAAAAACTATTTGACATTAAAAAATACAATGAATTTTATAATTGCCATCACTACATGTTCCGTGTTTAATTTATTAAGTAGTAGTAGTAGTAGTTGTATTTGTTTATACCATCAAGGGAATATTTTCATGCAAGTAGATAAGTTTATGAGTACTTATATTTACAATATAGTTTTTATTAGTTGCATAACATTTTAATTTTACTTAAAGTAATTAATTTTTAGGCCGGAGAATAATCCTTATTTTTACTTATTTTTATCTTTAACATTATATCCATAAGCACATCTCATCTAATAACATTTTTTTATCCAAAAAGCTTTTTGCCCATCATATAATAAAAATAAATAAATGCAGAATACGACAAAATGTTGCTTTCAGTGACTAATAGGTATAATAGATTCAATAGCCTTCTCATTCTCAGAAGATTCAAACTCACCTCATATTAATAAAAAGTCCAGAGAACAATTTGAAATTAAAATCAAGAAACAATTTTTGGTCATAAAAAGAGTCCCCTCCTATAACTTGATCCGGTGATTTAGATTAAAATCTAAATTTTAATCGTATCAAACAGGAGCTTATTTCATTCCATATTTTGTCTCAATTAACAAACGGATCATAGTTCATATCGACGATATATGGAAGAATGTAATTTAATTGTTAAAAAAAATATAATCAAAGAAAAGAGGGAAAAGTTGATACCTTTCACATCTTACTCGTTGGAAAACAAGAAAAAGGCATGTTTTTTTAATGTAAATATGATTATTTTACTATGAAGAACATTATTTAAAGGCCTAAATTAGTCATTAATCATGGTCCATATATTTTGAAATACGTGTTCGTATATTATGGAGGATTGCTGTGAGGGACACTTTATTAATTAAATAATTTTGATTAGTTAGGTGGCTTATTTAAAAACTATTTGACATTAAAAAAATACAATGAATTTTATAATTGCCATCACTACATGTTCCGTGTTTAATTTATTAAGTAGTAGTAGTATTTGTTTATACTATCAAGTGAATATTTTCATGCAAGTAGATAAGTTTATGAGTGCTTATATTTACAATATATTTTTATTAGTTGCATAACATTATAATTCTACTTAGGGTCTATTTGCTTGCAAAGGTGAAATTTGGATGGAAAGAAAATGAATTTCAGGGAATTGAATTGATGGAAAATTGTTTTCTTGAGAATTGTAAATTATTGTGTTTGATTATTATGATTTTTCACATGAAAAATGTTTAAATTAAAATGTTTTTTTATGTTCGTTTGGTTTTGTCTTACATAAAAATTGTAAATTAAAAGGAAATATTTTTTTACAATAATTCTTAGAATTTGTTGCTATTCCCAGCTCACCCAAGGGAATTGGTTTTCCTCATTTTCATGGAAAGGTGGTCAAGTGCATTGAAAACAAGCTACCTAGAAAAAATTCCCTATCAAACAAGGCAAATTGGATGGAAAATGGAAAAAATTTTCCATTTTCCATGGAAAATGGAGTAATCAAACATGGCCTTAAAGTAATAAGCACATCTCATCTAATAACATTTTTTATCCAAAAAGTTTTTTGCCCATCATATAATAAAAATAAATAAATGCAGAATACGACAAAATGTTGCTTTCAGTGACTAATAGGTATAACAGATTCAATAGCCTTCTCATTCTCAGAAGATTCAAAGTCACCTCATATTAATAAAAAGTCCAGAGAACAATTTGAAATTAAAATCAAGAAACAATTTTTGGTCATAAAAAGAGTCCCCTCCTATAACTTGATCCGGCAGATATTGAACTACAGATCGCTTAGTCTACATTCACGGTTGATTTTTAGAATGACATAACCTACGAAAGTTCTCTTTCGATGGCCGGAGTGAAACAAGGGATAAAAGCGTCGAGGCGCGAAGTCTCTACTTTAGGATCCGATGCAATTCTGAACTTCCTCATTTTAAAATTCAGAAACATGATATTTTGTCATAAATCATCAAAGATAAGATATTCTAATTAACGGATGGTTGAATAAAAATCGTTGGAAAAATAGGGATATAAATGTTTCAGTAAATAAATAGTAAGATTTTATATGTAATCAAAATGTAGCGTAATTAATAAAAATGGTGGTGAGATGATAATTACCCTAAATTATATTTAATTCTTGTTTAATTAATTATATAGCTATTATTTTATTTGAACCGACACATCGTTGAGGATGACAAGTATTATATAACTTTTTTTCTTCCTTACCCATGTTACAAAACGCGTGTAGCTGTATTTTATGTTATCTTTTCTAAAGCAAGCAAAGATGAAACCTGCAAGAAAATATTAATTTCAATCGCAAATTAATAATTATTATAGATTTTTATTCACATATTCCGTGAAATCACTACTGTTTCTCTTATTATTTTTCTTTATAAACTATTTATTTTATTTTTTATTTTTTTACTTTTTTTATAACTTAAATATCCAAACTTCACCTGATTAATCCTGAGGAGTAACGGCCCTCCCCCTTGTTTGCCGTCCAGGAAAATTCGAATGCAGTCACAACTTATTATACACATTTGAGTTGGACATTCGGGATGTAGTTTTCCTCTTTATAGACCTCCCTTTACGACATGCGAACAGTACCCCTTAAGGACAACAAAGCGCACCATAATTTTATCCCCACAGGACAACTGTCTTCTAACATAAATGTTGCTTTCCAGCTGCTGCGAGATTTCGAACCTCTGATGCTTCGTATAGAACGCTCCTGCTTTATCATTGCGCCATGTCCGTGGAGACTTATAAACTATTTATTAATTTGCCAAAGGGATGCTAAACCTTTAGCCCCTGTTTGGCCCCCATTTTTTATAATGAAAATGAGAGGAATAGAATTTTGTTGAAAAAATGAGTGGTTAAAAAAGAAGGAAAAATTGTCTATTTACATATAATATTATTTTATGGAAGATTGTGTGGTTAAAAATAGAAAAGAAAGAAAAAATGTAATGAAATGTAATTTAATGGGGATCCAAAATGGGCTTAATGTACATTCCCTTTCTATTACTTCAGTTTATTTTTATATTATGGATCCATTACGTAGGAACACTTGAATCTCAAGCAACTTGAGGTTAAAGAGTTTCAAAAGTGTACAGTGACAAATAAAGGTAGGGGCAAAAAAATCTCAAAATGATAAAAATTTGAAGCAATAGAAAGAAGAATTTGAAGGGATTTCAAGAATTTTTTAGTAATAAGAATGAATTGAGCATCAATTGTAGAACTTCTCAGTCGAACTAGAGAAGTGTCTCCATTTTTACAACAGTAAATTGAGAGAATATAAACTTATTTTTTCCTTTTCTATACTATCAATCAAATACCATCGTATTAGAACTTCATTTTGACGAGGGTAAAAGAGAGAGAACAATTGAAAACAGTACATACAGCTGAAGGCAAGACAGCTCAGTACCCAAAATGTAGCAGATATTGCTTTCACATACGCGAGCACATTTAAACACTCGAACCACTTTCTATCCATACATTTCGAGGGACCCACAAATAACACCTACTTATTCATCACCCATTTCTGCGTAATTATAAACAAAACCATCATCCAACTGCGGAAAATCAAATTATGAACAAAATAATAGATGCATTATTCAGTTTAGTTCTTGGCCAAAAGCAGCATTTACAACTGTTAAGATCAAACTTAAATACTAGGCTGTGGTTTACATACAGACGATTCTCATCAAATATGTGTAAGGTACGTAGAAACACACAAAACCTCATATCTCTAGAATGTTAGCTACGACTAAACAAAGCATGCTAGTAGTCAGTAAAGACCTCTTGGAGGGGCTAGTCAACCCATGTATAAACCTTGACATGTCGGTTTTTAGAGTATAGAACATGAATCTCCTCAAGTAAAAGGTTCACCAAAAAAATTCATAATCTTCAAGACCCACAAAATAGAGAACAATAATGACAAAATTGTAGACCGTTTTCCCCATCTGACAATCTCAAATAGTAGAAGAGGAGAAGAAATTTTGAGATCTAAAGGCAACTCTGAATGGTACCTTGCAGGTATGTCCCTCAAGGTAACGTTTGGTTGGCAAGTCCCATTGACTCTGCAACTTGTCTGGAAGTAAAAGTGTCTGCTTGCTCCTGCTTATTGCATAAATCGCATGTCAAATTATTATAACGATAAATTTTCATCTCCTCAAGTACAGCATAAGTGGGTAAAATATATAAATGCAAGGTGAATATAATAGACATTGTCAGCACAATGAACAAGGCCTTGTCCAAGAGACTCAAACATCTTTTTGCAATATAATTTAATCATTTTACTCCTTGCGAAGTTATTTCCAAAGAACAAATGTTTTAGGATATCAATGAACTGATTATATCATATCCCTTTTCTCCAACTATTATCAACTAATAAAATATTACCACGGATGCTAAAAGACTACCATCATAATTTATCATGCTTGAGCAAATGACTGGATTTACATACCTGAAGGCGATGCAAGAGATACATCAGGAAGAGGTGCACAAATACCTGTCAACATAATTGCATTATATCATATAGAGTAGAGTGCGACTCTACTAAAGCAAATGGAATTGAGTGCAATGAAAGGGTACGGCAAAGTGTCAGAAGTGTGTGTTTCGCTTAGTCTGTTAATTTTTGAAGCTCTGCTATATAGAAATATAACTAATCAGAGCACCTCAGAGTGGCCTCTTGATCTGACTTGTCAAAGACTCAACAAGTGACATGTCCTTTTGGTTTCCCCAGTAACCAGATTCATTAACCTCTTTACAGAAATAACTAATCAGTAAATTAGACCTACAACCATATCAATTTTTCCAAATTTTAGTAGGCAACATGCAAACACCAAATATTTAATTTCTTGTATTCAAGTTTGTTTCACTGGAAGACGAATCAAGTTGGGTAATTGGTGAAAAAATAAAATGGAAAATGTGAATAATGCTTGGTGACAAAAATATTTTTAGCCCCTATTTGGTACCGATTAAAAGCTAAATTTTAATCTAAGTCAAAGTCAACAATTAATTTTAACCACATTTGATGGGTCCCACAACTTTTCAACCACACATTTCATCAACTACTATCAAAATTTATTAAACATCTGATTTTAATCCCCCACCAAACAGGGGCTTAAATTGGTTGTGGCCCTACAAAAAAAAAAAAAAAAAAGAGAGTGGTAAAGCTGAAAATAATTAAATGAAAAGATGAAATTTCAGGACATTTTGGAATAATGACGGATCAAATGAAAATCTATGCAAAAAGTCTGTAGCTAAAAGACGAGGATATGAGCAGTGAGAGCACACTGGGTCACTGGGTCTGTAATCTTAATAAAAACATTAGGTCCCATTAATGGACACAAAAAGACCATCTATAAGATTATAGTTTCACAGCTCAAATTAGTTTTTCATTTGATTAGGAAATACAGTACAGAAGCAACCATGATGATGGTTTAGGTATACAAATCCACGGCACACAACTTAAGCTCCAGTAATCGCAAACATAATGCAAGAGTCTTCTTTTACTTATTTTTCATTTTTCTATTCCCAGTCTCTTTTTCTTCTCCCACTTCACATCTGGCAACTTGAGTTCGTGATGCACGGTGATAAGTAAAGGCACAGTGTCCAGTTCATGCAACACAGTTCCAAAACATAAAACAATGTCATAAAAACAGGAGTTTCAACTGTTCTCACCAAATAGAAAAGCAGGATAAGTCGAGCAGTTGGATACCGCCAGAGGAATCTTGTGGCCCTGACAGCCCCAGTATCTAAAAACTTGGCTGCCTTCTGCAACTGCCAAAATTACAGTATTGCCAGAAAATCCAGCATGATCAAGAAAGGATTTAAAGAAAAACTACATAAAGAAAAGAGAATGACAACCAACTATACCTGTAAGCTTGCCCCAGCCATATGGCGATGATGCAATGGGAGAGGCCTGAAATAGTAGAATGCCAGACTCAAGAAAAAACACAAATGGAGTGGAAAAGAAAAATTCACATCATCTATTTCTTAACCTGGCTTTAATGAATATTATAGGTCAAATGAAAGATAAATTCCATAGAGTTTGGAATTATTGAGAAATCCATTTTTCAAAACATGAGACAGTTAGCTAGGAAAAATGGAGCTATACGCATATTTACTAGAGAAGAGTCAGTCCCATTATAATTGAAAAATAACCCGACCTCTGTACCACATGTTAGTGAAACAATGTTGTAATTTTCACATAAAATTGACGGATCTGTTCCTCTATAGACATTACTGTTTGAAAACCTTTTCTTTTAGCAAAAGAAAACTCAAAAATTGTTGCACAGAAAATATGCATGACTAAAGGAACCACTGCAAACATAAGTAATGCGCAGGAATTTAGGAGACCCATTATGTTCTTGACAAGCCTACTAGAGTCTTAGCTCTAGATTCTGTTTGTAATCAGTTCATTAGAGTTCTGTAGCATGTTTTGCTTTTGTTTTAACTATCAGGAAATTAATGCCATAAAATTTTAAACCACATGGACATTTTAGTCTGTTGTCTCCTTAGGCAGAATTGGTGTTTCCCATACTAATAGTTCAATGTTAATGTATACCAACACCCTATTCCGTTTTTCATCTTTTTGAGTAAAAAATGACAATTTGAGCTATCATTAGAACACCTTAAACCCTAGAAGTCTATTTCCATTCGAAAATATTGCTCTTTCTGTTCATACAATATATTATACAGCAGTTTAGCCAAAGTACATAATCTGATAGCAAGAAATTAAACAAGGGCACATACTCAAGTGCTTTCATGTCAGCGTCTTCTTCCCAAGAGGATGATGCTCGACGAGAAGCTCTGCTTCTTTCTGCTTCTAACTGTTTTGAACAATAAGTTATATGGTGATTTACACTTCACACACACAAGTATAATCATGATCCAGAATGATAACAAAATTTAAAACACAATCGGCCACATGCAGACCTGTGCTTCCTGAAGCCGCTTTACTTCCTTTTCCAACTGAAACTCAGCTGCAGCCTTCTCACTAGCCATGGTTTCCAGCTGTGTTTGCTTGTAATACTGAAAGCCACATTTAATAGTTGGACATCAAACAAGTTGTCATTGGCTGCTAATTGCAAATGACAGAGACATGAACATTATAGCTAGAACTACCAATAGATCGGTGAGTTCCCGGTACCGTTTCTCCAGCTCCATGTGTTCCTGCTCAAAGACAGCCACAATTCTCATATTTGATTACCGAGCAAAATGTTGAACATATAAGAATACATCATATGCAAGTATTTATCTTCAAAAATATCATCATAAAATAAAACTAAGACTTAGTCCCAACAAATTAGAGTTGGCATCGCTATTCCTTTTTTCCCACCCAATTACGAAGAACAAAAGCAACTAGATCTTTAGCAGCGGCAACATGCCACTATAGATTTAGTTTACCTTTCCCTCTTCTTCATGCTAAACCAACATGCATCATTCTGATAGGATCTCAAACCTTTCATTGTATTGAATGTAAATTTCTGGAATATGGACTACAATTGCGAATGAGAAGTTGCTGTGAATATATGAAATGCTGAAATTGAAATACACATCCAAAATAAACTACAATGGCCACATTTCAAGAGGCTGTCTCTCTCTCCCCCAATTTCACCCAAATTGCTGTCTAAATGAAAATAGAACTCCCTCCTCCTATTTATAGTGAGCTCGTGTCAAACTTGTTTTGCAATCTAGCCAAAATACTCATAACCACTTACCAGACTAACAGGTAAACTATGACAAGAATCTGCAGGTGCCTATCAATACCCCACCCTCTAAATTCATCTTGTCCTCACGGTGAAAATCAAGAAACTGTAGCTGGAGAAGTCCATGAACCAATCAACCCTTGCCCAGCATCCAACCATCAACATCCTACAGTTGATCTTCTAACAATAAGACATCCATGAGAACTCTGTAATCGTTTGCAATAATTTTGGAATTTTCAAACTGTGAATTAGGCTAATCAAAGTAAAATTTTGACCACATCCATTTGTGCAATCCTCTTGCCAATTTCCATAACATTTGGATTAGTGAGGCCAGAGGCCCACAATTGGGTTGGTAGTGAGGTCAATGGTGTCGCTCCCTTTCACCTTTTCTCCGAAGCCTAGTTCCGCCATATAATTGTCTAAGTTCCAAATCATTAAGTTTCTTTAAGATAGAAGGATTCTGCAAATCTAAAAATTTGGGGACCACTCATGCAAATTTTGGGGTAAGCTAGTTAGTGTTTGGGATAGTTTCATGATAGACCTTTTTTCTCTTTCTAGACCTTTTTCTCTAGTTGAGATAATTGTTCCAAGGATCTGTTTAATGAATTATTACCATCTTCACAAGTCTATTTAAAATGGGTAGGCCATTAGCTTTAACTTACCAATATAAACACCAAAACAGTAACTTTTGGAGATAACATAAACTGATATAATGCAACATGCAAGACAACAATATAAAGAGAAGAGAAGAAGAAACAATGGAAGAGGAAGAGTGAAGAATCGGAGGAGCCAATTTCAATAATTAGGTATTGTTAAAGACATTAGAATGATATACAAGTGACCCTCTCTAAAAACTTAATATGTTGGATCAAATGGTTTAACTAGGTATCGGAGCATGCAAAGGTGCTGAATTCACGTCTCGCCGCCCCATATTTAATGAAATTGTACACGTTTTAGGATTTGAAGGAAAAAAGTTCGTACCCATGATGGGGGCACGTTGAAGGCATTTAAATGACATGTGCGATTCTCTCAAACAAAGTACAATTTTAGATTAAGCAGTTCAATATGAACTTGTTGAAGACATTGAAAGATTATAAGATTATTCTTCATCATATTTTCTCAATGGAGTAGGATTATTATCCTTAATAATTCATTGCGTACTTATCATGACATATTCCTTTATAACTATTTGTATCTCAATAAATTGGGGGTCTTCTACACTATAATAGTTATGCAGATTATGTTATACACTTCATAATTTCCAACAACATTTAATATCAGTAGTCTACTGATAATAAGAAAACCATAAACGTACTTATACTTCAAATATTTAGCAAACATGAAAAGCTATAAAGCCAACAAAATGGAAAACCTAATGTAACCTAAGAGTTATGGAAAGGAAATTGTAGATTCTCTTCCAAAATAATGATCTATTCTTTATGTGTTTAAGAGAATTTGTTGAAGACTTTCAAAGATTAGATACTTATTTTAGGAAAAGAAATTAGGATTTATTAGGAAGGATTTTCTTATATTTGTTTTATTCTTTAAGTTTGAATAGCACATTAATCGGCGATCATTATCATTCTCCCATAATTTTCAAATTTCATTCAATCGGCGATCATTATCATTCTCCCATAATTTTCAAATTTCATCTTTTTTGTATGCACATCCAATTTTCAATAAACAATTACAAGTACTACCAACTTAAATTGTGCATTTAAGGACCTTTTTGTAAGGATGGAATTTGCTTAACTAAACTTTTGTCCATTCCTAATGCCTAAATTTCCACATACTATTTCACGTCCTAAGTAACCAGCTTTCCCGAATATGACTTCAAATCTCCCTAACAAAATTAATTACATCAACAGAAAGAACTAAAAGAAAAAAACCAAGATAACTCCCTTGGCCTTGAGCTGTGACCCTAAACCATAAATCACAAACAGAAAAAATTCACTGCTGAGGTACACCACAAAGGTATGCTCAATGCAGAGCAATATAAGATCATTTGTGAAGGTACACACTCATTCTTATTCTATTTCTGCATGACACTAATAGAATAAATCATCTCTTGGCTTTAGGCCTTGAACTATCTATATAAGACCTTTCTATATTATATTCAAAATTCTTCCATTGTCAGCAATATGTAAATAAAATTTAAAGAAAAAGTATCCCATTTGGGAAAAATTATGCCAAAGCAGAAACAAGACCTGACGTGAGTAGTGTTCAGCATCCCTCTTCATTGCTGCCATTTCAACTCTCATCTTTTGAACTTCAGCCTATAAATGATGGCAAACGTTCTAGCATTACCTTAATGATTTGATTAACTTTATACTCATGAATATAGTATAAATAGATAGCCGTAAGTTTACAAACTTGCCTCCATTGAGGAAAGCTTGCTCTCAGCCTCTCTCTGACCTTGGCGTGCACGCTCCACTTCCTCTTGCCATGCTTGCACCTTCATATGAACATCACAAGTCACATAAAACCTACTGAAAAATATTCAATTTGATCTCAGGGTGTGCTAAGTCATATCAGGTTCCAATTTGTTCTAGATGAATAGTAAACCAATATGTATAACGCACTTGAGATAGTCATAAATAATACAAGAAAAGCATATTATCTTAATATAATAAGTACAAAAGAGTCTTCAGGGAGTAAGACATGCTACAGTTAAAAAATACAACAAATGTTTGGTATCAGTATGGATTTTAGGGACTGCATCATCAATAACAAAATAGGATGAACTTGAGAAAAAAATATACTTGCAATATTTTGAAATGGCATTTCGACCTATGTTTTTCACTGTAAAAAAAGTTACATGCCTATGCATAGTATCCATGCATAGAGATCCTTTCAAGGTATACACTATCAAAAGAACATAGGAATTGAGTCAAACCAACCAACCTGTTGAAACCCGAATCAACGTGCTAATAGTAGTGAACATAAAGCATGTCAAGCATATGGAATATTGAATAACATAAGTCAAACAGGAAAATATAACAATGAAGAAACGATGTAGAACATTTCCCAACTTCATCTTCAAGTTAATAAAACAAAAGAGCCCAGTCTAAGATAAAGGAAAACTATGGAGAAAGGCATGGAGACCAGGTCAATAAATCTTGAAACCTGGGTCCTTTTCTTTAACGCATAGGTGATTCAACGATGGGAAGTGCTGAAATTCCTTTGAAATTAAGGGAAAGTAACCAAGCCCCTGTTTGGTTTACTTAAAAATAGATTTTTTGTAGATTTTTATAAAAGATGTGAAATGTGAAGTTGAAAATTTGATAAAAGTTGGGAGTCCCATGAAATGTGCGGTTAAAAAATATTACAACCGACAAATGTAAAGGTTTCCCAATGTTGGACACTAGTACGCCACCTTCCCATCTTATATAAAAATCATTGATAATAAACAATATATAGCTAGCTTGACAGAACCTCGAAATATACTATGTAGTCGAAAATTCAGTTCACAGTTATTGAACCTGTATGGCTTGATTTGTATCTTCAGGGACCTTCTTTTGCTCACGACGTGCACGAGCTTCCATATCTTGCAGTTCTTGAGTTAACGATGTGCATTCAACCTAGTGCAATATAGTTTATTAATAACATGAGCTTTCACCAAGTGCTACCCTTTTACTTCTTCATATTCTTTTAGGGGTGGGGATGAAGGTGGACGTGGTACAGGTGGAGAAAAATGCAGACCATTACCTCTAGCAATGCCACCTTCTGCTCAAGCTCTGCAGCCTTTGCAGCCCTTTCATCTGCTGTTCTCTGGACAAATAACAGACACAATTAAGATTGGGTAAACACGAGTATATTGGAAACTATTAAACTGTAATGGCAATAGAAAAGGCAAAATGTACAAAAATTAAACCAATGGTGAGAAAATTTAAGGACTGTGAGCAAGTTGAACAAATTTCATTGCTAGTACTACTAATACTCAACTCAACTAAAAAATCCTTATCTTATGGGTGTCTGGAGAATGCCAGTATTAATATTGGCAAAATGATTGTTCTGTGAAGGTAACAAGCACTTCATTTTGTAAGGAGGCCATGTTTCAAAATAACTTTAAAGACTCAAAAATTGATATCAGCTTGTTTAACAGTATCTAATTAAATAAAGTGAAGTAAATAAATATCTCCTATGCATACAGCTTGAAACCCTTTCAGCAGAGACAGTGCTAATTACAAAGCTAAGCCAGAATATTTTCCTCAAATCAAATAAAGATACCTATAGAAACAAGAAGTGCTACATGTTTTATTTATGCCCATGATACTGTACAAGGCATCAATTGGATCCCTTAAATACCTGGATCCTGGCTAATGCTGTGGATGCCTCAACAGCTCTGTGTTCCAAATCTACTTCCCTTTCCCTAGCAGCCTGTATTTCCATCAAAAAAGTTCATCACATCTCCAGGATGCTCCACCATGGTAGCATCACAGAAACACAAACAAACAATTGAATATGAAAAAATATAAATGGAAACAAATTCAAGAATTAATACAACAGACAAACACATACAGAGGCACGAGAACACACAATAAAGATATAATAAAAGAACGGCATGAAGCATAATTAACCTATAAGAAAACACTTATAAAAGATGTTTGCAGGTAAATACCATCCTAGTAGCACTGTGGGAAGCACGCTCATCTTCAGCTCTTCGCTCAGCAGTAGTCAACTCCTCCCTTAGAGCCTGACAAAGAAACATCTTTCCAATATGAGAACTCCATTATAACACAAACAGTTCATAGAACAAATATGCAACTCCAAACAACCATGTTCCGTACTAATCAAAAACACGGGTCATCTTACTTGCATCATCCTTGTCTCTGTTAGTTCCCTATTTCTCATCAAAGACTCCGTGTTTGCCTAAAGATAAATAGAGAAAGGATTAAAAAATAATAAAATGCTTGACGTGATAAAGTCATAGGTATGGCATGTGAATATTAAGGTATGGATGTCATGATAGATAACAAATCAAAATTCAGATAACAAAGAACCTAGATGTATCCTATGTAGATTTGTAATCTAGCAGAAATTTATCAGGAAGAGACTAAAAACCAAGAGAAGAAATCTTTTGACATGAGCAGAATAGGCTCATGTTTGAAAGTAAGCAGCTATTTTCTTGGATTCCTTCTCAAATCATTTACACTTGCTACCTCCCGACTGGAGAAGAAGAAAGGTAAAGAACAATAGAAGGTTAAAAAAGAAATTCCAGGAAAAATGCAATAAACCATTGAGAGGTCGATAGCATTGGTTTATGGAATACATTGAACCTGCACTGTTCAATTATTCAACCCGGTAGAACTGCAACTTGAGCGCTCAGTTGGCTTAGAGACCATAATTTGAAAGGATGGATGATGATAGCTTTCACAGAAAAAACTACTTTACAATTCGGCATAGTGTAAGAATTATTAGAACCTGAAGTGATGCCAACTTTCCTTCAGATAAAGCAGCCTGCTTCTTCAGTGCATCAACAGAACTGACAAGTGCCTCGATTTCAGAATTCTTTGCGGCTAATGCATCAACCATATTTGATTCCACCCTAGTCACCTCACTTTTGGATGCAGATAGATCTTTCTGAAGCTGTTTTATGCGAGCTTCATATGACTTGCTCAACTCTCTCTGTTAAAGTAGAGCATCAACATTTAAAAGTCATTTAATCAAATGTTATACTCGACAAAATGGTTAATATGAAGTTGGTTAATTAGATTGAAAAGGAGCTCATAATTCACCTCTGCTGTAAGAAGCTCTTCTAACTGAGCATTTTCAGACTTGTACTCTTGCAAGCGGGAAGAAAGCCCAGCACAGACCTGAGCATGACCAGCCTCAAGATTAATAAAAGATGAAAAAAGAAAAACCAAATTGTTGCACAATAATATCCATTTAAATAAAAATTGACATAATACTTAAAAAGAGATGTTATCGACTACTTTGTATCTAAAATGGTTTCAGGAGCATTTCGTAGATTTGATTTAATTGATTGCAGTCCTAGTTGAGGTACTAGATTCCAAGTTTTAAGTGTATTCATTATATTCTTTCAATCTATTTCAGGAATGCTCATCTTGGAATGATGTAATTTGCTATGTGTTTTTCCAATTAATTCTCTTCTCATGCTAAACAAAATCTGAACTTTCTTTATCAGAAAAGCAAGAAAAATAAACAAATATGGACCACAACCCATAAAAGTTTTTATAGAGGTATGAAGCTCATTATTCATAACATGAAATTAAAATTTGACTTTCACTTTAAATTATAATATGGTTATAACTTTATCCAAACAAGCACAATGTATATGAGATGTAATGGCAGCAGCAATAAAGAAGTTCCTATCACAGACTGTTTACACCGAGTTTTGCCTTTAGTCTGTAACGAGCTTCAGAGCCATTTCCAAGATGATATTTTGGTATATGTTTCGCACCAATGACAGTCTTAGAGCATGATACTAGGAGGGATTATATCACCAGTTACAACTTTAGAAGAGTACTTCGGAATCATAAGACTATATATTAATTAGACCTAAGATAGAGTACATGGGAGTGTCCTCTAGTAGTATTAAAGATAACAATGATGGTAGATTTATTCCATGTTCGGCCCCCATTTTCTAAAACTCATTTTTCTTCAGGCTCAATTTCAACCACATATTTCATAATTTTTATCAAAATCTGCTAAAAAGTTGATTTTTATCTAAACCACACAAGGCTTACTATAAAAGGAGAGTTTGTTTCCTGAGGAATGATAAGGAAGGACTTGAATGGAATGTGATGCGTTGGATAACATGGATTCTTACACGGATTCTATTAGATTGAAATCCCTATGGGTATTCTGAAGCAGACACTAGGCCTAATGTCCTTTATGGTACTAAGTACCTGGCTGTTAAAGGACAAAATGTTCATAATATGACAGGAAAAGAGTGAAGAAGTTAAGATTAATGTTTAACCATAACACAATGGACAAGATAAGAAATGGAAATAAATTAGAGGAGGTGACACCAATTGATGATTAATTAAGGGAATGGTGTGACATATCTTGAATAAACAAAAAGAAGTTTATGTTCACGAGAGTGATGCAACAACCCTTAAACAAGTTAGATGAAGAAATGTATACTAATATGACATGACTTATCATGACTGGTAATCAAATGTACTATACATTTGATAGATGTAGCGATGCACTGAACGGAGTGATTAAAAATGACTCTAGTTACCTAAATTAATTGGGACATAAGAATTAGTTTTTAGTTTGTTTATTGCATTAAGAACAATGGTTTATGATCATCCTACTTCTAGTTTTGAATAGATTTAATCGTAAACAACTTTCTTTACATTTTTTTCTAAATTTTTAAATACAAAGAAAAATACTCCATCAATTGCATAACTACTTGTACAGGCATATAGATGAATAATTGGATTTATCAAAAAAAAAAAAAAGGGAAAGTAAGAAAGGTAGAGTAGTGGTACATAAAAATCTCATAAAACGGGATATTTAAAACTTCACTATTTAATTTCTATCTAAACCTCCTCCTCTTGACAAAACAGGTCCCAACCAATTAGATACTACCTTTGACCCAGGTAAAAAATGGTACATGCCTCCAGCAACCATATAATTGAAAAGTTAAAGCAATGATTCAAAGACTGTTAGAAAAAAATTAATCATTGGAATGGTGAGTTTTAAATAAATCTTTATCATTGACTTTTGAAAAAGTTTTCGATAAACCTAGCACCACTCAGAATATGGGGCATGTAGCCATGCAATGTTGTTCGCAAGTGTAGACATTGTATTAACCATTCTACAATTCAATTTCGAAGGCAATGCATAGATGTCATAACACACAAGAAGCTTGGTTAAAAGATGTAAACAAAGAAAATGGTTGCAAGCCAATATAAGGACAACCAATCATGGAAGACTAATAATTCTTACCCGAGCTAACCTAGCTTCTTTTGACTGACCAGTTGATATTGTACTCTTGAGTAGTCCTTGAGCCTGTTAAACTAAAATGATTTAGTCTCCACAAAAAGCCGAAAAAACATCATCCCAAGTATTTACACATTTTTAAGAAAGAAATCCAACAAACAAGTTCTCCGATCGTAAACACTTTACCTCATCCAGTTGCTCTTGCACTTTCATCACTGAAGGGACATTTTTCTGCTCTTGATGCTTTTTCTGCTCAGTATTAGGTTCAACTACTAAATCCACATGTGACAGCTGTACATCAACTTTGCTAGGTCCATTTGCATGTAGAGATTGAGAGTCTAATTGATCCATATTTTTAGAAGACGCTGCACCTTCTGACATGATATTTTGACTGGAGTCAGTTGGATAGTCACCTCTAACAATTTCCACTCCTTTAGAAGCAATAGATGGATCTTCAACAGGAACATCTGAAGTGTCTTCACTCCCAAATTTATCATTTGAATTTGAAGGCACTAATTCCAAATTAGAAACACTTGCTGCATCAAGATGATCGGCAACAGGTTTTGCCTCATCCTTAGATATTGTACTAGATAAAGCAGTCTCAGTTGTGGAGCTATCTCCATCAACATTGCCCTGCTCTTCATTGTTAGTGTGTCCGGGAGTACCAGAATTACTCCCAGTATTTTCAATTGATGGCATCAGCACATCTACATCAGGGACTACATGCTTCTGTCCTGTTTCTGGTGAAGTTTTCTCCCTTTCAACATCTACTGGAGCTTCATTGGAAGAAACTCTCCTTTTGGACTGGAAATAACTCCCTTGTTAGATCGAAATAAGAAGTACAGTAAACAGGATTAAAAGATCTATTAACCCAAGAATAGAAAATTCCATAAAATACCTTCACTCTAGGTCTGGTCCTCCTTGCTGGAGTTCCTTGTCCATTGGAAGCTTCACAATGGGAGAACAACAACAGGAAGTGAAGAAAAAGGAATTATTCAATCAATAAATTTTAATAGATAAGAACAAAGATAATTATTACATATTAGGGCATTTGCAATCTCATGTTTTTCCTTTCGCCTATAAAATGGAATTGATAAGATGGGGGATTATTACAATAACAAAATGCGACGCTCAAATGTATAGTACATTATTCTTTCAAAAAGAGTGAAAGCAGCGACATAGTATCCACCAGATCATCTCAAAAATTCAAAAATAAAATGGCGCAGCGCATTTATTTGCTTAACTTCAGAATAAAGAGAAACAAAGCAGTAAGCTTTAATATGAGAACTTACAAAGATGGAATCTTATATTAACTGTTTCTGATTCATCGCCCCAGACCCAGTAAATGGAAAAGAAAAAGAAAGAAGAAAGAATCATAACTGAGAGCCTCAGAATAATACCTGGGGCCTGAACATCAGGCAGTTCATCTGATTTCTCACCAGCAACAAGCTTGGCTCTTCTATCTACTACCTCAAATAAATCTGGCACGACATAATCACATCTAACTTAGCATGGAACCCTTCTCCAATAGCCAATTAAATCTTGGAACATAAAACTCAACAATGGAATCGAAAAGCGGGACAATATTGCCCAAACAAATTCTTTACAAAATGCACACAGTTTTTCCTCATATGCACATAGTTTTTCCTTATATAATCATACTTAGTCCAGTATCTTTAGCTCGGAACTGAAGTATTAGAACGCAGACCAATTATGGCGTTTAATTACTTGCATCGACCCAAATGTACAATCGAGATCATACTATAAATCCACTAAAAAATTTCAAAAACTAGAGATGGAGCTTAAGAATCGAACCTTCGGCGGCTTTGAGCCACGATGCCATTGATTGAATGAATCAACAGTAATACCCTAACCTTTGATCATCAAAAGGGCAAAATGCAACTTACTTTACAACGTGATTTGTGTTATTCTGTGTCAATAAATAAATTAACTAAACAATTTCTAAGAAAAATAACGGAATTGATTGAAAAACTTTCAGTAAGAATTTGTTTTTTTTTTTTTTTTCTTTTAGATCGCGGAATTAACAGATCGGTGGAGAGTCGTTAGTTAGGAGGGACTCTCTGAGAATTACAACCAATGGAGCGACAAGGATATATTATGATGTTATAAGATGTAGCATAGTTAAAATGCATACCAAGATAAACAACCACTATTTACGCGCCACGTGGAGTCGGGGTCAGGCATGGATCTGAGTAACCTATTTGAGGCCGTTACTGAGATGGTCTAAAAGTCAGGCCCAATTTTGTTTTAATAAAAAATTATATTTTTAATAAATTTCAATAAAATTTATAGTATATTTCATGGAAAATTAAATAAAACATGTGAATTTCAAAAAAAGTGTAGCTAAAAATGATTTTGAAAAAAATAATTTTAAAAAAATGGGATCAAACATGGGCTTGGTTAATTACACGATTGTTGAATAATAGGGGTTCAATTTCATAAATCAAGTGAATGAAAAATAGTTTTAAAATTAGGCATGATTTCAAATATGTTATTATTTGTTATAGTGTATTTCATTTTTTGACATATAAATTTTGAAAAATCCTACATTTAAGTTATTATTGTTGTAACTTATACTCTATGTAGTTTCTTTAAAACTATAAGTATTATTGTTGTTATAGTGTATATAGTTTCTTTAAAATTGTACCTTGAAATTGTCACACTGCCATCTCATCATTATGGTCACCATCTCACCATACAATCACCACCACCCGATCATCATCAACGGTCACCTCATCAACACGAGAAAATTATATACATTATAATTATAGTATGTGTTATTCCTCTTATAATAAAATTAATTTCTTTAAAGTTTTAGCTAAAAAAATTGTTATGCTACCACTCTATCGCAACCAACAATAGCCAGCCCCTTTATACAAAGCAATAAAACAAAAGTTAAAACCAAAAAAAAAAAATTAAAAAAAATACATACATTGTTGTTATTGTGTACATTTATTTTATATTGCAACTTTTTAGCTTGCAACCACCATCATCCACCAACAGTGATGTCAACATTACAATCACCACCACCTTCAAAACCTAAATCACAACAAACATGAGTAGATTTGTAACATTGTGCCTATTACAACAAACACTTATAAATCTACACCACCACCATCACCATTGATGCCCTCTACAAACCCCTTCAAGACCAATTACCATCGCCATGAATTATCACAAAACCACCACTATGACAACCATCTACACCTTCCAAATTATAAAAATAACAACAAAAATCATGCATGCAAACTCCAATGTTGGTGGTAATGGCAGTGGTGATGGTTACAAAGTCAATTTGCGAGGTGATAGTGGTTGTGGTGATAATGGTATTGGTAACAAGATAAGATTGGTTTTTGGGTGTTGATTCTTTATGGTGGTGATATGCCATTTTTAGTGGTGGATTAATTGTGGATATGGATGGTGGTGGTAGTGGTGATGGCAGTAAGGTAGCTTGTATGGTGGCAATGTAGATTTGGTGATTATAGTTAAGCTTGGGCATGATTTGGTCCAGATAAGTTTCGACTCCAACTCGAAACAAAATCAAATTAATGGGTTTGGGTGAATTTCAACTCAAATCAACTCACCCTAGTTCTTAAAACCAATCGATTGGTTTGGTTTGTTCGATTAGTCGACTTAGACTTTTAATCCAAATTGATTTTTTTTTAAAAAATTGTCCGAGTTTTGGGCTAAGGATGGTAGTAGGATAGCGGGACGAATGCTTGCGCAGTTTTTTAAAATTTATTTTATTATTATTTTTTTACATTTTCAAAATTTTGAGTTATACTATTATTAGATAATAAAATATAAATTTAAAATAAATTTTTAACAGATGAATTGTACAAAAATAAAATTATTTTTAATTTTTTTCTCTTTACCTTGCCCTACCAACCCATCGGGATGAGTTTTTTTGCCATAACTATTTTGGGCCTACTTAAATTACAATAACTAAAGTAAATAAATAACTTTATGCCCTTGTTTGAGCCCCTTTTTTTCAAAATACATTCTTCAACAGTAATTTGACATCATTTCGATCACACATTTTTCAATAAAATAATATTACACACAAATTCAAAATTTTTTCTTATTTTTTAACCACATTCTTTATCACAACACTATTCCAAAATACATTTTTTTTAGAAAAATAGGGCTCAAACAACCCCTATATTGCAATAGTTATTGACTAACAAATAAAATCAAATTTATAGAAACAAATCAATGAAAAGCTTAAGAGTTTTGTTATTTTTTTTATGCATTGTGTAACTTGACTATCTAAGTAGGAAAAAATGCTAAGTATAACATAATAAGCTTATGAAATGATATTTTCAATGTTATTACTTACCTACAACATCATAAATTGGAGGGAATTAAGACATGATTATGAGGTTAGGGTTTATTTTTTAATTTTTTATTTTTCTTGAAAAAAAAGGAAGACGAGTAAATGGGTTGGGTCAATTTGGTTAACTAAGGGTTTGAAACTTCAAACCATGGTTAAATAGATCCACCATGGTTTTCTTTTAAAGAAAACCAAACCTAGCATATTACCTATGTCAAACTGGCCAGAGTCGTTTCAATTTGATTAGTTTGATCGATTTTTCAATTTTTTTGCTCAGGCCTAATTGTAGTATAGATATTTTTTATGGCATTGGTGATAATTTGGATTTTGACTTTTTAACATTTGGTGGCGAGATGGCTATTATGATAGCAGATGTGGTGTTGGGAGAGTGGGGAGGAGAGGAAAGCTTGGAGGTGACGAAGGTTTGTAATGGACAGAGAGAGTGGGGAAGGAGGAAAGGCTGGGTTAGGATTTTTTATGAGGTGTATAATTTAGGGAAAATCTCTATGAAATAACATATTTTTGAAGTTATAAGTAAATATATAAGTTCCTTTTTTGTATAAATTAATTTAAATCAAAGTCAACAATTAATTTTAACCACAAATTTGTTGAAAATTTTATTAACTTTTATCAAAACTTACTAAAAATCTAATTGTAATCTCAATTAAACAAAGACTGAATGGGCCTCATTTCCTCATGAAACTTAAGAAATTTACATAAATAGCACTAAACGGAATAAAAATAAAAATTGAACTCTGTGTAAAATTTTAGGGAAAAAATTCTGAACTCTTTTGTACATTTTTAGTTTAGCATTATTATTTATAGTTAGTCAAATACCAGAGGTAGCCTTTAATAACAATAACAAAATAGAAAAATTAGGCTGGGGCTGTATTTAAATATGGGAACTGAAAAACCAGGCCTTTTTAATTTTTTGATAATATTTTAGAATTTCTATCCTGAAAAATAACATAAACTTTTATGCAGATATTCTATCTCAAAATTCTCCTCCAAATGGGAATCTCTGGTCAAATTCCAACGCAATCTTCAAAGGCAAAAAAATCCGTCCCACCCTACCCCAACGGGGGCCTGCCCCGAATGGGGTAAAAAAACCTGACCCTATGGGTTGGCGGGGCAGGATGGGGTGCCCCGTTGCGAGGCGGGGTGGCGTGGGGGTGCCTTGCCCCGTGAATTTTTTTTTTAAATTTCAAGTTATATTATTATTAAATAATAAAATACAAATGTAAAATTTTAATTAATTACAAAAGAAATAAAATTTAGTCAAAACGTAATTTTATTTGAAATTGTTTAATTTTTAACATTGTTTATTTCAAGTGTTTACTTTGAATTTTAAAATTTTGAATTTATATTTTATTCTCTAATAATAACATAATTTGAAATTTAAAAAAAAAAATTTAAACGAGACGACAAATGGAAAGTGGCCTCGCCCCGCCCAAATTATCAACGACACAAAAACATCAACCAAGACTATATTGTGATATTATATGAACCCATTTATAGAGAGAAAAGATCTAAACCAGGTATTTTGTAGGGTTGGTATGTTCAATTTGAACTTCTAAAGGCTTTAAAAAAATTGAGTATATCCAATAGACTTTGCAACTTGTAACTTATAAATCGTTTATAAATTAGCCAAATGGTGGCCAAGTTTTCCAGAAAGTATTTAGAAGTTTCTCGATATTTTTAAAAAGTCAATAACTTTTACAAAATAATCCGCGATGCTAACTTTTAAGTAGAAATTAAAAATACAAAATCCCATAATTTTCCACTCACCCTCAGGGGCGGACCGTCTAGGGGTTCACTTGACCACCCCCAACTTTTGAATTTTTTTTTTTTTATAAGTTTTGTTTGGTATCGATTAAAATCTAAATTTTAATTTAAATTAAATTCAATAATTAATTTTAATAATATATTTCATGAAATACATAACTTTTTTAACTTTTATCAAAATTTACTAAAAATTTGATTTTAACCCCCACCAAATAGGGGCAAAATCACAATATTTTTTTTTTCTTTTCACTTACTCTATCCCTCACGCCTTATACCAAAATCTCAACCCTTCCAATTTTTTAAAATTTGTTTATAAATTTTATACAAATTATCACATCTACTACAAATTTTTATTTTTCAATCAAATTTTCAATTAATTAGAACCTAAATTTACATTTTCTCCAATCTTATTTGCGTATATAGCATGTTTCTAAACTAATTATATTCAATTTAACTTATATTTAAGAAATTGTATTTATTTGATTGAATATTGATTATATGTTTTCCTTTCGATCACTTGAATTAACTGTTTGAAATAAAAGATATGAAAATGATGAGCAAAATAATAATGAAGAAATGTTTTTTAAGTGTAAATCTGCATTTTCTCGGGTCAAATATAATTATTCAATAATCAATAACAAAGTATTCGATTTGTACAGAGTTTGATTGTGTTCCCTAACTAAACATTTCTACATCTGCCTCTGCTCACCCTTCAGATTTTGAAAAATTTTCACAAAACAAAATATTTTTCAATTTGTATTTTCTCTCTTTCTTCAATATTTTTTTTCCTCTTTCATTCTATGAATCTTAAAGCTCTTTCCTTTGTTAGCATTTGTAGCATGGCCTACTCCCACTTGACGTCGTGATGTAGCAAAAGATTTGGTGCCATCTAGCCTCCTGATGTTAGTGCTGCTCGGCCATTGGGACAATTTCACACTATTCACA